AGTAATTCAAGCTAATTTTCTATTTCTTAATGCAATTTTAGGCTTTAGGGGTGCAAAATACCGAAAAATTTAGCACTGTAGGAACATTTTTAATTAATACTGCAATGTGGGAGCCTAAGTCCGAAAGATCCGTCGAGTAAAATGAAAGGCCACAACCACTTTAGTGCTCCAAGCTACCCAAGTTTTATCAAAGACGTCCGCCCCTGTCTAAAAATACCCTTGCAAAAGCGCACCTTCTCGGTGCAGACCCGGGCAAATCTGGCCTTTCGCGTGCTTTCCCCATGCGGACTAGAGGATAGCGAAAAAAAAGGATTTGAGATATTGATATGTCGGGTATGCGGAAAAGTTGTCTTTTTAGATGTAGAATCCAGTGCAATTTTTTATTTTGAGATCGGACAATATTTTCCGATCGCGCAACGAGCTCAAAGTTATGCATTACCACTGAGGGAAAAAACCGCAAAAAACCTCGAAAAAATGAAAATCGAAAATTTAGGCTTTGTATGTGATGTTTTTTGAAAATCTGTTTTCAATCTACGCTAAAAAAGGCATCTAGTATCACACTTGATATTGACTGTAGAACTTTTCATTTTTTGCAGTTTAAACTGCAAGACTTTTAGTTTTGCAGTTGAAACTGTCAAGTTGTTATACAGTTAGATTTGCAGAGTGAAGTCTAGATCAATTTATTTTCGTTGAAAATGATTTTGTTTACTGTGACAGTGCTTAGAGGAGCATGTACGCTTAGAATTCAGCAGTATTATACCATTCCTCGAAACAAGTATCAATTTATGTTGAACAACTACTTGTTCATTGTTTATGAACTGTTCATGAATAAATGACACAAACTATTTCTGTTTTTTATCAATATTTTTAAAGTTTTACAGCCCAATAGTCCTTGATTCACATGTAACACACAAGAAATGCCACTCACAAGAAACGTGGAACGTTTGAATAAGAACAGTGGCTTGAGCAGGGACAACTACCGCGGCGGGTCGCGAAGGTAACGGCGGTGAGCGTGGGGCGTTGGCCCCCCTCCCCCCTATCGAATCTCTCCGAACGGCGGTGAGCGCAAACTCTGCTGACTCTGCTCCTCCCCCGCTCCCCTCTATCGGATCGTCCCTTCCCCCTCCGCCACAGCTTGGCACTTCCGTACCGCCACTCTGCGTGCACCAATATGTCATACAAAAGTGTAGGGGTCGATTTTTATGTGTTGCTTAGGTGGTGTAGGTAATATTTTAACTTCTTAGCCCCTTAGCCCCGTTGGTAGTTGTTGGGACCCTAACCTCACCTTATTATTATTGTTGTATTTATAGAGCACTGCACAAGTTTGCAAAAACCTTGTAAAGTATAATTGTGGTACGAGATTTTAGTGTGCCGTGTGGTTTTTAAAAAATCTAGGGATTGACCGACAGACCGCAGAAGGAACACCCCATGTTATTGGCAGCTCATGATTTGAATGTTTAGGGGCGTTACCGTCAAAGGTACACTGTGAGAAAAACCTACGGTCTAACAACAGTCTTGGACCGTCAATTATTAACCAATGGCAAACCGTTCTTGGACCGTACCTGGTACGGTGTGATAACAGCGTCTCACTGTTACTTTCACCGTAGGATGTGATTTCAATTAAAAAGTAAATAGCCACATTAGCCAATAGCCACATCCTACGGTGAAAATAACAGTGAGACGCTGTTATCACACCGTACCGTACCATGCTGTCAAATCCACGCTGTTATCTCACCGTAGGTAGACCGTTATTTTTTACAGTGATATACGATAGGTGCCAAAACGCAGCACGACCTTTTAGGTCGGTAACGCCTTTCTAGAGTGCCATAGTACACTAGCATTGGAAGGTATCAGACGACACATTTGTTTTTCCAGAGAGTATGAAGAAGTATGAACATATTTGTTCGTACTGGAGTATTAATCGAGCTCTAAACAACAAATAAGTTCACAGGATACTTGTGTGAAAGTCTTCATCAGAGAAGACCTTGCAGCAGCACCGAGCAACGCCTGCTTGCTTCGCGCTCAGGAAGGAACGAGCATTAACTTTGATTCAATGGCTTGCTCTCGCTGTGCCGTGCTGCTGACGCCGCTCCAACAGAGCATCACATTCGAAAAGTTGAGGAGAAGACGAGTCCGGATAAGGTTTGCGTTTGCTACGCCAGAAGCAGGACGGCTCGGCGCGGGCCCACGCACGCACGCACACACACACGCACACACATGCACGCACACACGCACACACACGCACGCACACACACACTTCCACACTCGCATGCGTTAGACCGTCCCAAAAAAATGCTGTTTTCAAAAAGTTCTCGGGACACATTGCCGCAGTAAACGGACTGACTAGTAGATACTAAAACGATTTTTTCCCGATTTTTTGAGTTGAATTTAGAGGTCGCGCATGAATTTTTTACGTTTTTTAACACAAAAACTGCGATTTTGCCCGAATTAGCGAGTTCTAGCCTCCCCTGGACGCTCCCTCATCATTCTGATAGCGCACACTCTTCCCCTCTATCCCTCTCTTGCCCCCATCACTTTGCGGGGTGTCTAAACAGACTTTGACCCCTGTAAAATTATACCCCAAGAGAAGAAAGTAAAGTCCAAAACGGTGGTTCAGAGCCATACACAGTTAAAAAAAGTTGTCAAATTATCATAGTCTCTGTGATGACTAGCTTGTTAAAAAAACACTACCATTCGTTTTCATTGGCATGTGACAAAGTTCCTTCTATTTTGACCGTAGTGGTCCATAACAACGATCCCTACTTTTCACAATGTTGTAATACTACAACAAAACCGTTGGAATGTTTGATAGTAGCCAGATATATCGTAACAGAACCAACAAGTTTGTGTTATTACAAACTTATAGTGCTGGTAGACGTAAATGACCACTGTTTTGAAATTAAAAATTGTTTCAGAAAATTTTGTGAATGTTGTTGGATTAAAACATGTTGTGTTTTATTAACATTTGTTGCTAGCAAACTTTGCATCAAATGTGTTCTAAATTTTCAACAATTTTTTAACAGTGTACCATTATTGCTGCGGGCAATAACAGTACAGTTAGAATGTACAGTTTAGTTTATTTCCCATCATCTATTTTAAATGACACAGGTTTAAAACCAAAAGTAAAAAAAAATTGCCGTAAAATATGTGAAAATCCCACAAATAGCCGTTTGGCCGATAGAGCGCGTAGCGCCGACTCCGACGGCAAGAATTCAACATTACTCTATTGTTTTGGTGTAATGTTCGTTGCTAGTTAAGGTACTCCTCACAGACGCAATTGAAGTTATTATAAATCCTTTTTTGGGGTATAAAAATGAAGTAAGCATGTGGTTCGGACCCCCGCAAAGTGATAGGGGCGAAAGAGGTATAGAGGGAAACAGTATGCAGAATCAGAACAGTGTGGGACCGTCCAGAGGAAGCTGCAACTCGCCAATTTCCCCAAAAACGCAGTTTTTGCGTTAAAAAACGTTAAAAATTCATGCGCGACCTCTAAATTCAACTCAAAAAATCGGAAAAAAATCGTTTTAGTATCTACTAGTTAGTCCGTTTACTGCGGCAATGTGTCCCGAGCACTTTTTGAAAACAGCATTTTTTTGGGACGGTCTAGCATGCGTAGCCGGGAGCATTCGGGAGCAACCCCGCCCGCAGACGGGAGGTGTGGTGGCGGGGCGCGCGCACGGCGCACCGGGACCATCCGCCCTCCCGGCCGCACGCTGAACGGTGCTCCCCGCTCAACCCCTCCTCCTCCCCCTCTGCTTCCGGTCCAGAAGCCCAGGTGAGAGAGGCGGGAGGGCACCGCCCCCTCCGGGAGGAAGTCGATGATGTCTGAGAGGGAAAAGAGAATCTCAGCTGTCATTGCCCCCAACCTCGGGGCACGCGGCCGGCGCGCGTCTGTCGCGTGTGCACCTGGTTACTCATCATCACTTTCTTCCTGTCCTCAACCTCCTCCTTGCCCTCCTCCTCCTCCCCCCTCATCCCTGTCCTTCTCCTCCTACTTCTCCTGGAAGGGGGCGGTAACGGGCTCGCCATACTATAACTACACATTAGTAGTACGCACGCACTGGACTTACTGCATGTTGTGCGCGTTGCTGCTGTGCGTGGCTTTGATCGAGGTCAGAAAGGAACGCGCTAGTCGCGAAACGAGATGCGGAAGGATTTTTGAGTGGTGAGCGCGGCATTGACGGCCGTCGAAACGCCGCCGTCGATTGAGGCATATCCTACGCAAATGGTTTCAATATTGCATCCAATAAAACTCTGGAAATCACACTGTATTCAGTACAAAGATAAGTCAGTTTTAACTGCAAGGCTACCATTTTACACTTTAAGCCGCAATTCTCTCACCATGAAAGAAACTTTAATTTCTGAGGACACAATCCTTTTTTTGTTTTTAAATAAATCTTTTAATGATTGTGATTTATATTGATACGGGTACGATTACTTAAACGATTTCCATGTAATTTCATTTCTTGTTGCATACCTCGACAGGCCCGTTTGGAAG